TCATCTCGCCCCACATTTTTTCTTTTCTAGACCACTCCGAGACCGACCCAAGACCGACCCGAGACCCGAGATCGACCCGAGAACGACCCGAGATCGACCCGAGATCGACCCGAGATCGACTCGAGATCGACCCGAGATCGACCCGAGATCGACCCGAGATCGACTCGAGATCGACCCGAGATCGACCCGAGATCGACCCGAGATCGACCCGAGATCGGCACGAGCGATCAACCCAACAATGCCCCAAAGCCCCCTCTCTGGGGGACCCCCCCTCACCCCGAGTGTCCGTGTCCTTCGCGAGTCACCGATGGGGAGCGGGGGGGGGTGCGAGATGCACAGGGGAGGCTGGGGAGGGGGGGGTCCACTCTGAAGACTGCCGACCGCGGGGGGGTTTTCTCCCACAGGGTTTTACCCTCCGCGTGAGGATCGGCGCGGCGAGGGGGTAGGCTCGAATTCGCCGCGCAACATATCACCCCCACAGGACCCCGCCCACCCCCCCTCATGGTCCCACCTAGCACCCCAATGAGCCTTCGCACCCCCTCCTTGCGCAGTGTCCCCCACTATGTGTCGCCGTTATCGGGGCACGCTATCCTGTCCAGTCAGGGCAAGTGGGGGCGAGGCGCAGTCCCTCTGGTCTATACTGGTGTGGTTCTGTCCCTAGTCTCGGAGGGGGGCTTGAAGCTAAGAATATTTTATTTTTCTTGAACATCTTCATCCGGTAGGCCATGGTTGGCGGGCGCTCCGAAAGAAGAATTTTACAATTTCCGAAAGAAGAATCTTACCCGTGCCCAGTGTTGTGCGAAAGAAGAATTTACCGGCGAACGCCGGGATACGCGCGGCGGGGCTCCAAAAGAAAAATCCGTGGGACACATAACAGCTGTTATGAGGTTGTTATGCTGGCTGTCATAACAACCAGTGGGATGTGTTATGAGTGTTATGAGGTGTTATGAGGTGTTATGAGGTGTCATGGTAGGGTGGGCATAACAGCCATAACAGCGATGGATGTGTTATGAGGTGTTATGAGGTGTTATGAGGTGTTATGAGCAGCCAGCCATAACAGCCATACTCTAACACCTGTTATGGCCGCTCCCATAACCTTGACTGGGGTCAAGAGATATGGCTGGATGAGCCTTCGGCCAGACGCGCGCTGAGGCGCGCCCCGCCCGGTGACTCTGACGGACGATTCTATCAATGTGGTGAGACGGACACGATATCCTATCGATAGAGCCGTAGGGATGAGTCTGCTAGGGATGATGAGTGCGTATACATGACACGCTCCAGTCAGCGCGCTCGCGGGGGGTCCGGTCAGCGCGCTCTATAGGTCTGGGTGGACGGGCGACGGGGCCTTTGCGCCAGAGCTCCCCTGTGCTCACCGGAACTCACGTGCAGTCTACCGGCTGTTCTCTCCCTCGGATGAGGGTGTCGACAGCGTCGAGAGCGCTGAGAGCGATGATGCAGCGTGCGCCTGCAAGGCCACTCGTAGCACATTTGCCACCTGCTCTGACGCCGCCGCCTGCTCTTCCTGCGCCTCCGGCTCCAGCCCAGCCTTGTCGCCGGTGGAGGAAACCGTCAGCATGGACGAGCCACAGCGTCGGCCCGTCCACATTTGGGTCCGCCCAGCGACCGCAGCCACCGCCGCCGCAGCGGTGGCGAGAGAGCGCTCGTCTTCCGCACTGAGGTGGGAGATGCGCCTGTTCCGCCTCAGCGCACGATACTCCTCCTCCGCCGGCGTCGGTTTGGACGGGTGGAAGGCTCGAAGCTCGGGGAAGCGCTCAAGCGTGGCCTTGCGTCCTTTTGCGTTGCCCGTGCCCTATATCCGCGCCAGCAGGACTGCACAGTGATAATGGCGGGTGTGTCGAGCGTCGCCGTCGGCAGGGCGTCACAAAGGTCGGCGGAGTTGTTTCGAGATCTCCCCGATTCACTGACAGGAGGCGTGGAGGTAGGCGTGCTCTTGAGCGATTTGAGGATCTCAGTTCCTCGAGCAGGCAGAGCCCATGCTTTGACCTCGTGCTTTGCCGCACTGACAGTTCAGGAGCGAGCGTGACGGGACGAGCCCTACCTTCGTGAATGAAAGGAAACTACTCCGCAAAGCGACTGGCACGTCTGCCGGTTGTAACAGTGAAGCTTTCCGATTTTGGTTCTTTTTTCTTGTAGAGGTGCGAAGACGCGTACCAACTGGCTCAATGACAATGTACAATGAGCCGCTCAACTTCAGCAGAAAAAAATTGTCCGACCTGTCGTTGCGACTCTGCGACCCTCCTCAGGTTGCAGCGAGAATTGGCGAGGGACTGCGAAGAGAGATAGCTGATAGGAAGAGGCGGACGCCCTAGGGAGGGGGAGGGCTAGCGCATCACACCCCTCTCCTTAAAATCCCTGTGTGGTGGCGGCGTGCCGTCCTCAGCAAGAAAGAAATAAAACGGGCAACCCATGGAAGGATACCTAGAGTTCTACTCGAGTAGCGGAAAAAGAAAAGAGAAAACAGACAACCCAAGGGAGGGATGGGAGGACGGCACGCCGCCACCACACAGGGATTTTAAGGAGAGGTGTGTGGTGCGCTATCCGTCGCCCACCCTAGGGAGTCTGCCTCTTCCTATCTCTCTTCGCAGTCTCTCGCCGATTCTCGCTGCAACCTTCATGCCACCTCGCGGTCGTCCCACCCTCGTCGTTCTCTCCCTTGTCACTTCCTCCTCTGTCGCGTCGTTCTCTTCTGCCTCGTCCTGCGACGCCGCCGCCTGCCGGTCCCTTGTTCTCGCGGCTTCTTTCGCCTTTCGGCGCAACTCCGTCCTCCTCGCGGCGTATCCTGGCCCCTCGAGTCTATCGAGCTCCCCTCGCGCAAGGACCACATTTCTGACTCCCACTCCGATCATTTGCCTACAGGTCATGTTGTTGCTCAGATCCACTCTCTCTTCGAACACTCGTGCCTCTACGGATGATGCCGGCGCTGGGGTCCCCTTCGGATGCATCGTGACATCTGACAACTGGATTTCCACTGGTTCGTCCTCCTCGGAGTCATCTTCCCCGTCCTCCTTCCGCTCGGCTCTTCGCTCGGTACGTAGCGGGTGCGGACAGCTTTTTCTTTGTAAATTCTTCTTTTTCTGTTCTTTGCGACCCGCCTCCAATCGCCGCTGAGCTTCCGTCGCCGGCTGAGCTGCACGCTGGCGATGTCGACGACGCGTACGGCTGCGAGACACATCGCCGCACTGCTGTCGGGCGTCGGGCTCGGCTACATCGTCGCGCTTTCCCGGCTGCGGTGGCGGCGGCGACGGCAGCTAAACGCCGAGTGGACCCGTGCTGACTTTGTCGCACTCTTCTGCAACCCCAAAATGCCGCGAAGCTTCGGCATGCGGCCGCTCTCGTTTGGTCAGGATATGAAGTTCATTATGCGAACGCTGCCACGCTACCTGCTGCACGTCGAGCCAGCCGCTTCGTTGTACACGGCTCGTCGCGCCCTCGTGCAAAACCGTCCACGGATCGTCGTCTTCTCGGGTCACACCTCGCATGTTGGGCAGAGCCCTCACCTCTGCTTCGAGACGCCGGACGGACGCTACGACCCCGTCGTCACCTCGCAGATCCTAATCGCTATGCTGCTCAGCCTCGACCGACGCTCCTCGTCGCCGCCGTCCGATCTCTCCGCCGCCGTCGAGGCGCACTTGCAGGCGCAGCAGGCCGCAGGCCTCGAGATGGCGCACTGCTCGCGCGCGTGGATGGAGCGCGCGGCTCTGGAGTTCGCGACCACCTCCGAGCGCGCGTCGAGTAGTCCGTCGGCCGAGCGCAGCCTCACCAGCACAGGATCCGAGCGCAGCCTCCTGCGCGGCCTCCTTCCGTTGCCAGCAGACGGCTCCGCGGCGTCGGAGGCGGAGCCGCTCCTCGCTCTCTCGCGGCTCGCCTGCATCGTGCTCAACTCTTGCTGCTCGCTCGAGATTGGCGAGATGCTCGTGCGCGCCCTCCCGCGCGTCGCGCTAGTGTGCTGGTCGACTCTGACCGAGGAGCCATGGACAGCCGCGCACACGGACCAAAGAGGAGCTGTGTGCTGAGGGCTTCGTGCCGTGCCTGTAGGACACGGCGGCCCGCGCCTTCCTGGTTGGCTTCATGAACAAGATGGTGGAGCTGGATGCGGCGCCTTCCCCCGTGGCTCCAAAATGCTTGCGCCTGTACCTGTGGGCGGGCGCCGGCCGTGATGCAAGCAGCGGCCTCGACCTCGTCAAGTCCGCGTTCAAGGCTGGCTGCGCCGCGTTCACCGCGGGCGGCTACGCCTTTGGCGATCCCAACAATTTCCTCCATCCGTCCGGACACCCGCACTGGCGGCAGCCAGAGTTCAAGACGTGCCCTCATTGCTCGCCGCCGGTGCAGGGACAGGTCGTGCTGCTGCTCGCGAGCGGTGGCGGGGTGGAACGGATATATGGCGGGTAAGATCCCCGGGTAAGTGTACGTATGGTGACACGTCATTTTTTCAGAAAAACTAAGTGTCTAACAAACTACAAACATGGGCACACATAATCACATATCACCCGGGGAATGAGCAATCACGTGTGGAGAGTAGTCGAGGCGTCAGTCGTGAGTTGAAATAAATAAATAAATAAAACGGACACCTCTCTACTGTGAGATGGGTAAAAAGGAACAGGTCCCCGCCCTTGCGATCTTTGTGCAGGGTTCTTTGTGGGTGTGGTCGGCGACTAGCCGGGGATGTCCTCCCGAGATGGGGGACTAGCACTAGCCGTCTTCCACATGGTCCCTCGGGTCCCTGCTGCTCCTATCCTCACCGAAGGCGTCGTCGGAACAATGGCGGTCAGGCGGATGGTCAAATCCGCTAGCACCTGGTGCGGACGCGCGTCATCAGATTCTCGGTTGGGACCCCTCGTGGAGAGCGCCTCGCCCTCGCCCCGCGAGCGAGGGAGGAGCCTCGAGAATTGCGCGGGGGTCGGGAAATTCTTTTTCTCAGGCTTGTTCCAGGCTCCCGCGCGGCGCCTTGCCACTCCGCGCCGCCTGCTCCCGCGCCCTTCCCCAGGCCCAGTCGTTGCGAGGAGCTGCCATGAACGTGCGCCGCCCGTTCCGCCTGACCGCTCCCGCGTTGCGCCGCGGCCTTGCGCCGACACTCCCTCCCCGATGGCGCGTGCAGATCAAGGTCAAGACGCTGACAGGTAAGGAGATTGAGATTGACATCGAGACGGATGACACCATCTCGAGGATCAAGGCGCGGCACGCACGCCTCCCCTCCTCCCTTCCCGGTTGCGGCGCCGCCAGCCGCGGTCCGCGCACCACGTGTCTCGGAAAGTGGGGTGGTGCTCACCACCGCGCGCCCGCGGTCGCCCGGCTGTGCCCTCGAGACGTGCGCCGCCCTCCTCCGCACGTAGGAGCGCGTCGAGGAGAAGGAGGGCATCCCTCCCCCGCAGCAGCGCCTCATCTTTGGAGGCAAGCAGATGAACGACGACAAGAAGGCGGGCGGCGCCCCTAAACTCGCACCTCCCCGCCACCCCACCCACGCGCCGGCGCAGACTTATACACGGCTCACCTTCCTCAGTGAGCCCGCCATCCGCGCCGCACCCGCACCCTCCTACCCGTCTGTGCACACCTCGCAACCCGCCCTGCCCGCCGCCTCGCTGCCCGCCTGGCCGCCGCCCTACTGTTCCGCGCGCCAACACGGCGGGGCGGGAGAGACGCCTCCTCTCCTCGCCCTCCCTCTGTCCCACTCCCGCGCACTCCTTCCGGCCTTGCGCCCGTGGCGCGGCGCGGCGGAGGCGGCAGGCACACCCACAAGACACACCCAGAGGAACGGCCGGAGGAAGCACCCGAAAAGAGACGACCCGAGCGGGCCTGGCACCAGGCGAGCGAGTACAACATCGAGGGCGGCTCCGTCCTCCACCTCGTGCTTGCGCTGCGCGGCGGGCGGGGCCACTGAGCGGAGCCACTCAACGTACCCCCCCGCCCCCCCTTTGGACTATGGACCCTCCCTTTCCCGCACCCATTCCCATGGCGCATGGGCCCCTGGTACGTGGGCGTCGAGTCGGCGCGCGGGGCGCACGCCTCGCCGCAGGCCATCCGGGCCGCCCGCCATCGTTGGCTGACGGGCGGCGGCGGCCGCGCTGTCCGCGCCCCCCCTTGTTGTGAGTTGAGTGTTTTATGGCGTATGCGGCCGCAGCCCCTGGGCGGAGTACACAGCGGCGGGGGAGAGCTATGCGGCAGGGCGTGGGGTGGGAGTATATTACGGGTATTGAATGAAAAAGAACTCTCGTGGTTGCTCCAAGTGCTCCAAGTGCACACACCGCCAGACGCATCCTACACGCTCGCGGGCACGGGCGCGCCGCGGCCGCACCGCCGGACCGCGCCCGCGCCCCCTCTCCCTCGCGACTTTGCGCATGTACAGCAATCTAGCTGTGTCAAGCATGATAGATAGACAGGTATAGAAAGAAAGTGTGCATTTACTTATATACGAAAGGTCTCCAAAAAGAATTCAACGAAAGCGACTCTCTCATACAGCACAACAGTGTTCACATCAACAGAGGGTTCCGGGCGGGGCTCCTAGCCAGATAGGGGGTCTGTTGACCACGGTGACACCCATGCAATAGGTAGGTAGGTCCGGTTTTGACCGCCCCAGAGGGCCCTACAACAGGTAGGTACCCCCTATTTTCGTCTTTTTTCGCTTCGCTGCGCGGCCTGGGGATAGGTAGGTAGGTAGGGCGTTTTGGCGCGAGTCATGGTGAACAGACCCCCTTTCTGGCTAGGAGCCGGAACCCAAGGTTCGACACAGGTCCGTCACAGTTCCCATGCCGCGGATTTAGTTATTTGCGAATCTGTTTCGTGGTCAGCGTCCTTGGTGGACGCAGCTGTCACGCTCTCGGCTCCCGTGTGTGACGCCCAGCTCATCCCTGATCCTCGGCCTCGTGGTCCGGGTGCTCGGGCTCAGGCTCCTCCCACAGGCTCTCCGCCTCAGTTGAGCCGTCCTCCGCCACCACGAGCTTGGCGGCGAGCACAGGGGGGAAGTGAGAGCGAGAGGCGGTCGTGGGGTAGCGTCGGAGGAGAGATGTGGCAGGCAGCGGAGGGCAGGGGCGGTAGCGTTGTGCGGCCACCTTGCAGAGCGTGTAGACTCCCCTTCCCTTTAGCAGCTCGCTCGCGCGGCGGCTGGTCGCCTCGCCCTCAGCGACCGCGCCGAGCCCCGCTAGGCCTACAGCCGCCGAGCCCTACCGTGGTTGCTGTCTGTCACTGTCTCGAGCTTGTATCGCTGGGACCTGCTATTGGAACACTCCAACATCAGATTTGCCTCGTAAAAGAAAAGAAAGAACACGGACAAGCCAAGGGAGGGATGGGAGGACGGCACGCCGCCACCACACAGATTTGCCTCGTGCGTCCCTTTTTGAGGCGGCAAGCTTTTTTCTTTTGGGTCCTGTGGGCACCCTACAATTGTACGTGGCGAGTAGAGGCCCCGCCCACCCAGGGTACCCTCTCCGAGGACCACCCATTTGGGCTCTTTCGAGGACTCGCCGGGGCTCTGCTCCAAGAGACCTCGACGCAGCGCGCGTTTCTCTTCTCCCATAGAGAACGAGACCAAAAAAAAGAAGACGCGGCAATCAACAGAGAGAAGGCTCGGTGTGCAAGCTCTCTTGATGCCGGTGGGTGTTGTGGCGGAGGCGGCGCCCGCGGCGTCCAGCAGCGGCGTCGGGCTCGAGGCGATCGCCTCGTCCAACATGGCGCCGTTCCTGACGAAGCTGTTTGACATCGTCTCCGCGACGACGACAGGTGCGCAGCTTCAGTTTACTGCGTCGCACCCCGGCCGGCGCAAGGGATAAACCAGACCGGGGCGGCGGCGCGGAGTCGGGGGCTGCTGCGTCCGAGAGAGGGCACCTCCGTCGGCCGGCGCCTCTCGCTGGCCAGCGCGGCCACACGACTCATCCCGTTGCACTCGGTCGTCCATGTTATTCCTCCTTTCCCGCGCGCCACAGACCGCTGCATCGCGTGGACATCGCGCGGCGATTCGTTTGTCATCTCGGACCCGGACGGCTTCGCGCGTGACATCCTCCCCACATACTTCAAGCACAACAACATCCGCTCTTTTGTCCGCCAGCTCAACACGTGCGCCGCCGGCTGCCTCTCCGCTCCTCGCACTCTCTCCCCCTCCCCCCTGCCCCCTTCCCCGGTCCTATCTTTCGTGTCCCATCGCGGACTTCATATCGCCCCGCCGCGGTTCGACGGCGGAGATCGTTCTTCACGTGTCGTCGGTGTGGCAGGAAGACTAGGTTTTTTCTGCGAATCCCCAAAATCTTTCCGGGGCTGCGCCGCGGTTTTCGATTTTGAGGGCCGCCTTTTCTTCCGCAGTGTCGGGTCGGACCTCTGGGCTGCTTCATGGGTTTTCGACATT